CCTTGGCTCTAGGAAGGCTGATCCAAATGGCAGGCTGGGGCATGGAGATAAGGGATGTGGGAAGGATGCAGCCCGCCATGGCCAGCTGCTGACCGCAGCCCTCCCCGCTTCTCTGCTCGCTCCGGCCAGGACCGCGTCCGGTGGAAGGCTTTGAGATCACGAACGTGACGGCCAGCACCATCACGGTGCAGTGGGCTCTCCACCGGCTCAAACACTCCACCGTCAGTAGGGTGCGTGTCTCCATCCGCCAGCCTGGGGACCTGGAAGACCGCACGGTGGAGCTGAACAGCAGCGTGGCCAAGTACACCTTCCTGTGAGTGTGGCAGGCGGGCGGTGGGACCGGCTGTGCTTGCGAGCCGCCGCGCTCATGTCCCCTGCCCACCTCTGCAGGGACCTGCAGCCAGGAGAGCGGTACATCGTCCATGTCACGACGCTGAGTGGCATGGGGACGGAAGATCACCCCTCGGAGAGTCTGGCCACAGCCCCCTTCCACGTGTGGACGAGTGAGTGGGGCCTCGTGGTGCAGGCTGGCAGGGCCTTTGCCGGGCCGAGAGCGAGCTCCCGAGAAGCTCGAGGTTGGACTCTGGCACTGATCCTTTTCTCTCCCTCCTTTTCCAGGGCCTCTCCCTCCTCGCAACCTCACAGCCTCCCGCGTCACCCCCACCTCTGTGTCCATGACGTGGGAGCAGCCGCCCACCGGTGCCGTGGAGGGGTACATCATCAACGTCACCACCGCGCAGAGCGTCAAGAGCCGCTACGTGCCCAACGGGAAGCTCGTGTCCTACACCGTGCGGGATCTGCTGCCCGCGCAGCGCTACCGCCTGTCTGTGACAGCTGTGCAGAACACAGAGCAGGGCCAAGTGCACAGCGAGCCCATCCACCTCTACGTCACCACCTGTGAGTGCCCGTCTCTGCCCCTGACTGCCTGGGTATGGGATGGGTGCCCCACCGCTGGGAGCCAGCAAGGGGTAGGCGCAGAATTGCGGCTCAGTGATCCGTGGTTGGGGAAAGGAGCAGCATGTGGCTCAGGTGGCACCGTGTTTCCTTAGACAGCTCTTACTGGCACCTTGGGGACCTGTCACTGCACTGACTTGTTGCCTGCCTCTCTCTAAGCATGACTCTTTGTGGTCTGCAGTGCAGAAGGACGGGGCTCCAGAGAGGCGCTGGAGCCAGGCCGGCCATCCCCGTGTGCTGCGCAACAGGCTGCCCCCAGCCTTCCTGCCTGAGCTCCGCTTGCTCGCAGACCACGACACAGCTGAGGAGCCTTCACCAGCCCCCAGGTAGGCACTGGCAGGCTGAGCACAGCCCCTTCCCCCAGCTCCAGCCAAGCTGCCCGCCCCAGCCTCTCTCCATGAGCTGCCTGCAGCACTTGCACTGTGCCATGTACCACCTGCAAGCGCTTCGCACAGGCTGCCTCCAGCCTTGAGTACCCTGCCCTGCCCCACACCCTCACGGCTGTGCTCCCCCAGGTTCACTGAGCTGGTGGATGGCAGAAGGAGGATCAGTGCCAGGTTCGGCACTTTGCCAAGCAAATCCATCACCGTGAAGACACGTAAGTGCTTTGCTGCCTTTCTGGCCACCTTCTGTCACCGTGTGCCGTCTCCTGGATGGGGTGACAGTGAGGCAGGCTGGGGGAGCCATAGGGGAGGGCAGAGCCACCTGCCCACCTCTCCCTGGCCATACAAACATCTGCTTCACCTAAGGAGTGGGGTGGCCTCTGGCAAGTTGGGAAGCCCAGAGATGGTTTTGGGTGATGGGAGGAGATGTGAGATGTGGCATGGGCTGGCCTAGACTGCCAGAAGTGAATGCTGCCTCTGGCTTGCTATACCCCACGTGCCCCAGGAAGGGCTAAGGTGCTGCTCTAGGCATGGCTAGCCCACAGCCCATGCTAGGCTGGGTCCCCCCAGCCTGCTGCTGCTGCTACTGCAGAGGGGCTGCTTTGGGTCTGGCTCAGGCTGGAAGTCACACTGACCCTCTCGTTGCCCAGAGCCAGAGGCTCCCGTGAGGCTGGAGAACACCGAGGAGCCCAGCCGGAGCAGTCTGGCACTGCAGATGCGAGAGGCATGGAGCAAAAGTGAGTCTGGGGCGGGCATGGCTGGCAGGGAGCTGGCCCTATGGACCCTATGGATGTACACAGCTTTGCCAGGGTCCCGGAGCCTGATGGCAGTGCACGTTTTTTCCAGGCATCAGGCAGAACTGCTCCACAAACCCGTGCAAGAATGGAGGCACCTGTGTAAGCGAGAGTGAATCCTACCATTGCGACTGCAGCCCGGGCTTCAAGGGCAGGCACTGTGAGCTAGGTGAGTGCTGTGCTGTTCCAGGGTGCATGACAAGGCTGGCAGCTGTTCCAGCAGTGGGGTCCCACAGGGCACAGGTCACTGAGCAGCCCCCATCCATACACAGCCCCCAGGTTCTGGTTGAGCCTCCAGCAGCCAGGATCCTGCTGTGCCCTGCAGTACCACTAAGCTGGAGCTCTCTTTTTGTGGGTCGGCTCCGAGTGACAGAGCCTGGAGCTCCAGGACTGCAGTGGGGGATCCTTGGGGGGCCTTGATGGCCTCCAGGGCACAGGCAGGCAGGGCCAGAGGTGGGCTTGCTGATAGCTCCCCTCTCCTGTTCCCCAAGCAGCCTGCAAGAAGGTGCCACACTCGTGCACACGGCTGTACTCGGAAACCAAGTCATTCCCCGTGTGGGAAGGAGGCATCTGCCACTACCTGTGAGTACTGCCTGCGGGTTGTGCTGCCCCTTCCCCTGGTGCTGAGAGCCAAGGCTGTCACTGCAGCACGGCTCCAGGGAAGGGAGTGTGAGCACAGGGCTGTCCCGTGCCGTGGCCTTTCTGGGTTCCTGGCACCGCTGGCAAAGCCTCCAGATCAGGGCAGGGTGTGACATGGTGCATCCCCTGCCTGCCAGCCCAGCTCAGGGCCACCTCTGCCCCTGGTAGAGGGCCAGCACCCATGCTGGGGCATGGGGGCCTCTGTTGTGCCCCCAGCCTGCTTGTGGCACAGCGCAGCAGCCCAGCTCCTTGCCCAGGCACGCAAGACTCAGCCACATTCTCATCAATGAAATAGGGGAGACCTCCCTTCAGCAGTTAAAAACACAGCTCCGTCCTTGTTACTCCACACAGCTCCCCTCTCTCTGTGTGTGCAGGTACAAGAGAATATACAAGGTACACCAGGATGTATGCTACAAGGAGAGCTGTGAGAGCACCGGTTCCAAGAAAACCAGCAGGTACAGCCACCAGAAATGTTGCCCTCCCTCTGCTTGGGGGACAGAATGCGGGCCGTGGGGTGTTGGGACTGAGGTGGGCAGGGAGGGGTGCAGGGCAGCACACGAGGCATGTGCTCCTCTACCTCAAGGCTGCAATGTTAGTGCCTCATGGGAGCAATGGGTGAGGTGCCGTAGGACTGATGGGTCTTTTCCTTCCTTCTCTTCCAGAAAACGAAGCAACAGTCACACACTGAAGAAGCCATAGTGTAAGTGTCTGCTCCAGGCACAGGCAGAAGCCCTGAAGGGGGCAGATCCCAGGCCAGGGCTGGCACAAGCTGCTGGGCTTTGGGGGGGGGGGGGGCTTTGTGCGCCAGCTCATTGTCCTCCTGCTCCTCTGCAGGGTTCAAAGCAGTAGAAACTTCATCCTTCCACGTCTAAGGGCTTCTGAAACACCGGGAAGATCAGATCTGCTCACTGGGTTGAATGCAGCAGGGCCACCTTCCTGCCTGGCCTCAGCCACTCCCTCTCCTCCAGCCCATTAGGGACACGCAGCCAGACTGACACTGAGCAGCACTGCCTTTCCTGTGCCGAACCAGCAGTGCCTTTGCCCTGCCTTGCCTTGCCCCGGCTGCCTGCCCCAGGGGTCCCTTGGGCCCCCCAGTCCCGGGCTTCTGGCTCTGCTCTGCCACCAACAGGCTGAGCCCACCAGCAGCTGCACCAACCTGTTTTCGTAATCCAAGGTTATAAGAAGTTTCCTATAAGCCCCAAATAAAACAATTGAATGCGGACCCAAAAGCCTTAGCTATCACCTGAAGCCTGGCCCGCACGGCCTGGTGGGAGGAGGTCTTCTTTACATCCATTTCCTACATTAGAAAAGGAGGTGAGAGCAGGTGCTGGAGGCACAGCCCTGTGCTGGAGTGGAGCAGTTCAGGCAGCTTCCACTGCCTCCTCATTTTTTTTTTTTTTTTCTTTGCTTTGTAAACAATCTGTGGTTTTAACCAACTTTCCAGCTCAGAAAGTGATAGAGCACCTAGAAGTTACTAGAAAGTGCTCTGCAGGGTAAGTTTATCAGCAGGGGTGTGATGCTACGCTCAGTGTGGCACAGCACAGCGTGCCATCCCCCTGCACAGCTCCCCCCACCCCATGTCACCCTGCAGGGCTGCTGCCATCACCGTGCTGTTTGTGGGTACCCTGGTGACTGTAGCAGAGCCAGCAAGGAAAAAAAAATTAGCTTAGAAACGTTCCTAGTTGTTGTGAGTTTGTACGATGATGCTAGTTAAACATAGATTTGTGTATTAACATACACAGTGTATATTATAAATTAATACGTACCAGAGATATATCATAGTTATGGCATAGAGTGTTACTGCTCTGGCAGCCCTGGTGCTGCAGCCAGGGGGGGCAGCCCTGCAGCACCTCGTCCTCCTGAGTGCTGAGTAAGAGCAGGGCCGGGCCACGCTCCCCTGCAGCACTGGAGATGCCTCTTTTGCCACAGGGAGAATGAGGCTTGCAGATAGAGCCCTTGTTTTTCTCTAAGGCTGCCTGCTCTGGCTTTGTGGACGTGTGTGCTTTGGGATGGGTGAAAAAGCAACCCCTAGGGTGAGAACAGGGCCAAGGGAGAGCCAGAGCGGGGTGGGCTGTGCCCCAGAGCAGGGCCTGGCCCCTCTGCTCCCCTGGGCTGGGACTGGACTGCCTGGACCTGCCCTGCAGCACTAAGAAGACAGCAGCCTCCAGCACAGCATGTAACACAGCCGAAAGATTTTAACCTAGTCTTGAAAATAAATTAGTTATTTGGGTTTGATTTTTTTTTTTTAATAAATAAATAAAAACACTTTATAGAAACGGTATATTCTGTGGAGCAGCTGGTCACTGGGGGGGGGTGGACAGGGGGCAGCTCGGGAGGGCTCGGCACTGTCCTTATCGGTGCCAGTCCCTATCGTCTCCCTCTGCGTGCAGTGCAGCGCTACCCTCCTCTTCCTCCTCGTCCTCTTCCTCATCCTCCATCTCCTCCTCCTCCTCCCGGGCCAGCAGCCTCTTGAACACCTCGTACTCCTCGGCTGAGGCTCGGGCTACGCCGGCCACGAAGTCGCCCTCGCTTGGCCGCAGCACGTCCCGCAGCACGGGGTTGTTGCTCTGGGTCTGGCCTTTGTGCGGGGTGCGGTAAATCCCGCGGCGCTCCAGGAAGATGTGGCGGTTCCTCAGCTCGGCGAAGGGCGTGCAGAACAGCCGGGCCTTCACCATCTCCTTCTGCCGGACGCCCATCCTGAAGTACGCGTACTGCGCGTAGAGACACGCGGAGCTCAGAGCCTGCCGGGCCGCGCCCGCAGCCCCGCACCGCGCCCCGCACCTGGAAGTGATGATGCACGCGGTCCGGCTCCTCCAGCAGCACCTCGGGGCAGCTCCGCAGCAGCTCGGCCAGCTGCTCGGCCGTGAACAGACACCGCTCCCGCAGCAGCCGCACCACCGCCTCCATCCTCCTCCGGGGCAGCGTCCACACCTCAGGGCAGCGGCCCGCCGCGCTCTGCAGCCGCGCTGAGCGGGGGTACGGGGTGAGCCGCCCGCCGCCCGGCCCGGCCGCCCCTCCGCCTCCTCCCATCCCCGGCCGCACCTCCTTCCAGCCCTAGCCGCCGCAGGTACTCGGCGCGCTCCTTCAGCCGCGCGGTCGCCATCCGCAGCAGCCCCGGGTTCCGCTCCAGCAGCCCCAGCGCGGCCTCCTCGCTCAGCCCCAGCAGCAGCAGCTGCGCCGCCGCCTCCGCCCGCCTCTGCGGCTCCAGCCCCGGTTGCAGCAGGCGGAGCCGCCGGGCCTGCGCCCGGTCGAAGCCCAGGGCCAGCAGCTCCGCCGTCTCGCCCTCCTCCGGGCCCGCCTGATACCTGCAGCGCGGGCCCGGCGCGGGGAGGAGGGCGCGGGGCGCAGAAGGCCGCAGCGCGCGCAGCAGCCGGGCCGCCATGGCTCGGAGCGGAGCCCCGCACCGCGCAGCCGCCGCATCGCCGCGGCCCCGCCCGCCGGGGTGGGCACGGAGCCGGGGCGACTCTCCGCTCGCCGGCAGCGCCCGAGCTCCGCGTCCGAGCGGTGCGCCGGCCCTGCGTGAGCTCCGGCGGGCGATGGATGATTGGATGAAGGAACCACCCGGCCGGCAGCCCCGCGGCTCTGCTCGGCTCGGCGCCGTCCGGCTCAGCAGTGCCTGTGGGGTTCCAGCAGTAGGCGGCGCCGCCTGCAGGCACAGCTACCGCGCACCGAGCCGGCGGCGCTGAACGCCGAAGCCGACGCTTGAGGCGCAGGAGGGGGCCGGGGCCCTTCCTCCGTGTGCTAAGTTACAGCTGCGTTCTGCCACGAATTCAGGCGGCCACGTGCTCAGCTGAACTATCAGAACCTGGAGCGAGGAAACAGGACTACAAACAAAAGCGGGAACTGCTGCATCTCCCGGCTGGGATCGCGGCCCTGGCTGGGCTGCACGGTGGCCTCTGGTTGTCAGGATCTTCACCCAGTCTGCATTCTCTCTGCCCAGTCCAAGCTTTCTTTCTGCTATCTTTGTCTCCTCAAAAATCTATCATAGAATCACAGAACGGCCTGGGTTGAAAAGGACCACAATGCTCATCCAGTTCCAACCCCCTGCTGTGTGCAGGTCACCAACCAGCAGCCCAGGCTGCCCAGAGCCACATCCAGCCTGGCCTTGGATGCCTGCAGGGATGGGGCATCCACAGCCTCCTTGGGCAACCTGTGCCAGTGCCTCACCACCCTCTGGGTGAAAAACTTCCTCCTACTGTCCAACCTAAAGCTCCCCTGTCTCAGTTTAACACCATTCCCCCTTGTCCTATCACTATCCACCCTCATAGGCAGCCCCCTCCTGTTTTTACACTCCCTTCAAGTACTGGACGGCCACAATGAGGTTGTGCTGACTGTAGTATAGGGAAGATGAGAGGACTGCATCCTACAGCAGGCAATTTGTGTTAGAGGGGTTGCAGAGTTCCTTCCACCAGCTCCAGCTCTAGGGGAGGAGGGAAAAAAGAAATACACATCACACCATTGTGTGTCTGTTTTTGTGCACAAACTCCAACCAGAAGCCAGCTGACCAACAAAACCATGTGTTTATTCATTCTTTTTTTTTTTTTTCAGAAAGTAAAACCACATATAAAAGTCAAAACAGCCAATAAAAATATATTCTGAGCTATGAACAATAAAAGAAGACAAAATATATCTCTTCCAGCTTTAAATCCCTTCCTAGGTAAAATAATTACAAGCCTGTTAGCTAGAGAAGCTTCTGACGGCCTCTGTGAGGTAAAACCCAAAGCAAGGGCAGACCCTGGGCTGCAGTGTCTAAAAGGGTCAGACCTTACACTGCTGAGTAATCTGCTGTGCATAGCAGGATTTGCAAGCGTGCTTTGCATGCAGCTTAGCCACCCGTTCTGGGAAGAACAGGAGTGTGGTGAGAGCTCCTGCACAACACAGGCTAGACAAAAAAAAAAAGGCATCTTGATGTCAGGCTGCCTCAATAGACAACAGAAAGCGGTTCACTCACAAGGCTCCCTCATAGGGAATCTCTGTTCTTGCTCTCAGGATTTCTCAAGAATTCCTCCTTTTCTCTCTTTGTACAGAGAGAAGTGCTTGGAATGAGCACTCAGGAAGCAGCAGGAATTCTCACATGCCCTGCAGTTATGGCAGCACAGGCAGGGGCTGCTGCAGGGAGCGGCTGCAGGGACTCCCCAGGCTCCAGCCCTGACACCTGGCAGCTGCAGCTCCTTCCCAGAGGGGATCTGCACACACACAGCTGGGAGCACTCACACACAGCTCACTCTCCACAGGAGGAGCTGAGGGTTTCCCTCTGTGTGAGTGCTCAACAGAACCATTTCTCCATCCATCGCTTTCTAGAAAGAAAGATCAACAGTGAGGGGTGAACTGCAGTCCTGTGGGTCAATGGGTCAAGTTCAAAGCACGTTTGGATATGAGAAAGTTGCCTTTGGGTAAGAAGTTGCTAACCATAGGCTAACTTTGTCTTATAGATCCTCCCCTGCTGGCTCCACTGGTGGGGGAGAAAAAGCCTTCAGAAGATCTCACCTGCCCCAGCAGAGACGTACACCTCCTCCCAGGTGTAATCACCCAGGTTCACAGGCTGCTTCAGCCAAGGATCCTCCACCAGCATTGCTAGAGTCGTACGCTGCTCTGGAGCAGGGTGCAGCAGCCCCACCATCAGATTCATGAGATCTGGGAAGAGGCAGCAGGGAGACAAACAGCTCAGTCTGTATTTTAGGCATGCTGGGAATGCAAGATATGATTTATATTCAAAGAATGCAGATCTCAGTTACAAATCCTCCCCGCTAATCTCTTGTACCATCCTGTTCTATCACAGCTTTATTCACAATGTGCTCAGCTCCCGGGATGATGGGATTTGCAGGTTGTGAAAACAAAGAACCAGGAGCAGTTCTGACACGGAGAACAGAGGAACAAGTGCCACACAGGCAGCCCGAAAATCACTGCTTTGGAGCCCAGCCCACCTGAGGGCTGCTGAGCCTGCAGCCACCCCATTCTCATCTGTGCACTCAAGGCTCAGGGAAAGCTCCAGGAATTCACTGCTCAGCTGCAGCACTGCTTATAACCATCGTGCTCCTGGGATCACAGAGAACTTGTTGATGAAAACTTCAGGAGCCTGATGTGCAATTTGTTTTCTACAGCTCAAAGCAGGGGCAGTGAATTTTTCCTGTGATGTCAAGCTATAGGATTCATTCAGAAATTACATATTAACAGATGATCACCAAACATCCCCAGAGTGACACGCTGTTGCGTGACAGTTGGTTCAAGTGAGATAAACCTTGCCTTAGAGTGAGATGAGTGTCATTATTGACTGAACATTATGTACTACAGTCAGCCTTCCCAGCAGCCCTTGTTCTGGTTTTCTCAAGCATAAACCTCACTGAAGTTTGACAAAGCAATAGCTTGAATCATCTCTGTAAGTGGGAGGACTGGAATTTGAAACTAACAAGACATACAGTAAGAAGCTGAATTGGAGGCACAGAGAACTGCAGAACAGAATTTCTCTGCTTCAGAAAACAGCATTTTAAATCACTGCGTAGGACATTTGGAACTGTTTTTCCCCATTTTTCTCTGCTCCTGTTTCCTTTAAATAGGTGAAAAGTCACCTTTTGACACAGGCCGAGGAAAATTCAGGACAGCTGCCATGGCCTCCTCCAGCTCACAGAAGGGGTTCTCTGCAAATATTAGGGTATAAAGGGTGACACCAAGTGACCACATCTCCAGCTCCGGGCCGTGGTACCTACAGAGATGCACAAACTTGCATGAATTCCAAGTGCAGGGACAGAATCATGTGCTAAGGAACGTAACCATAACCTGAAACTGTTAAATATTGAAACAGAACTTCATACAAGCTCTCTAAAAAAGCAGCTTTTAATTGAGAGACAGGTATGAAGAAGTCAGGCAGCTGACATGCATACTGTGAGAGACAAGGGAGACACCAAGCCACAGCACAACTCATCCAGGCTGGAAACGACAACTGGAGGCTTGTTTTAGAACTCAGCTCTGTCACAGGAAAGACATTAGTGTGAACTGATGTACAAGGCTGTGCATGAAGCACCTGACCAGAACAAGAAAGCTCATCAACAGGCTTAACAAAAATCAACTAATAAGCCTCTGCAGATGATTTCTGTCACTGTAGTGCCCTAAATCTCACTTCTGTTTCCTGTGGTTAGGCACCCCCCCCTCGCTTCCATCCAGCCCTGCACACACAGGGCTGTTTTTTGGGGGTGTGATTTACAACAAAATGATTTTTCATAGGGTGACATACGGTTTGCCAGACAGCACTTCTGGTGAGCAGTATTCAATGGTCCCACAGAAGGTGTAGAACAGTTTGCCAGGTTGCAGGTAGGCAGCAGAACCAAAATCCACCAGTTTAACTGTGAAATCTTCAGCAATGACAATGTTTTCATCCTTGATATCTCTGTGAAGGATGTTTCTACAGTGGAGGTACCCAACGGCTGACACAAGCTGAAAGAGGAGGAGAGAGCTGTGTGTTGAGTCAGACAGATGTCCTTCCAAGTAACATAAATGGCATCAGAGTTACCACAGCCACATCTTGGGTTGCTTTGACACTGTATGAAGACACAGATCCTAATTTTGGTAAGCTCCATTTGGATGGTCCTTTCATTTCACTGAAAGAATAACACTGTATGCCTTTCATACTGCAGCATGACAAAGCACTTAGGAGTGAAGATTGGTATAAATAATATCCTTAGGTTTAAACTCCATTCTTCTTGCTGCACGATTCATGCAACAGTGCTATAATTAGGAATAGCATCAGAATTATATCACCTTGGAGACAATCTTGATCCATACCACAACATATCTGAATGACAAAAGCAGAGAGCTGAGAGAATAAAGCTTCTATTCATCATACAAAGCTCCTTCAGCAGAGAAATAGCATACAGGTCTGAGGTAACAAAGCACCCCTATAAACTCAGGGGTGGTATAGGAATGGGGCTTATCAGTCAGAAGCCTAAAGGAAACAGGGAAACAGAGTGCAATTTGTGAGAGCACACTGCACAGCAGACAAAGAAGGTGCAGCACTAAACCACTGTCTTCCACCAGCATCCCAGGTGAGGGGAGTAGAGCATGACAGTGGTTTATGAGAGAAACAGGATCCTGGTTCTCACCCTAACCATCTTTTCCCTGCAAGTAGGAACTGTATGTTCCCAGCTCTCACCTGCCTGAACAGATAGCTTGCTAATGGCTCGTCCAAATCAGGCTGATTATCAATGAACGTAAAGAGATCCAGACCAGATCCGTGCTTCTCCATCACCAGCTGGAAGAAATGTTCATTTTCAAACACATCCAGCACCTGATAAAAAACAGTCTGTTATTTGTTTGTGCTTCACCTTCAAATTCCCTTTGTAATTGAGCTAAACAAACACTAACTTCCCATGGCAGATTCAAGCGAAGTGC